AGAGAAAGAGTGAGAGAGACGAGGCGAGACGACGTATTTGTTGTATTCTTGAAAAAAAAGAAAGAAAAAAAAAAAGAAGAAAGAAAGAAAAAAAGATTCGAGCTATCCCTCTACGTCTGCGTAAAGAATTCCGTCGCGCGTTTAAAACCCCCCGATGTGTACGTACGATCTCGTACGTATGTACGTACGAGACGACACGGTGCCTTGTATATGCCTTGATGCATCCTTTATCCCATCGAAAATCGCTTCATTCGACGAAATTGATCGAGTGTGAACGGGAGTTCTTTTTAAGGTCCATTAGAACACCGCGATCTTTGATCTTTTCTTCAATGTGTTCTTTCTCTCTTTCTCTCTCTCTCTCTTTCTCTCTCTCTCTCTCTCTTTCTAAATACGTATCTATCGCGATCGAGATTGACAATCTTTTTATCATTTCCATTTTTTATAGTATTCCAAACGCTTAAATGATTTTACACAAATTATGGACAAATAGACGTAATGTCGATAAATTTTAATTCAAAATAATATCCTTTGAATTGATTTATTTTTTGTACCTGTACTTTCGTTCGTAACATTAAGGATATAACGTCAATTGTATTCATTGAAACGAATCAATGATGATAAAAATAGGATTAATATAATTGATAATTAAATAATAAGTAAATTCTTATATAGTACGGATACATGATATAATTTTCGATAAATACGAGAGCAAATCTCATCGAGTTAGAAAGAAGAAATGTAAAATGGAAAAGAAGAAGAAAAAGAAGGAGAAAAGAAGGAGAATCATTGTCGGCCCGTCTGGGAGAGAGTGAAAGGACACGACGACGTGACGAAGGGAATAGAAGGGGAAAAAAGAGAGAGAAAGAGAGAGAGAGAGAGAGAGAGAGAGAGAGAGAGAGAGAGAGAATCGGATCGGTTCAGAACCGGTGTTACTCTCGCCATGCTGTGCATCCTGAATGCCCAGATGCTTTCTAATAGCCTTAATGAAGTGTGCATTGCTCGTGTATACGGAGTTAAAGAGGCGGCGTCATAACGACACTAATTTTTAAGCATAACCGTACACTCAGCTTCACAACGTGTGAACGTTCAAGGTTCACAAAAAAAAAAAAGAGTTCCATGGCCGACTAACGTGAATTCTTGCTCCTGCATACCTATCTTCTCTTCGAATTCACAACGGGTGATCATTATTCGTCTTTTTCGCGACGAAAAGAAAAATTGCTCGAGAAACAAGATTATTTAACTCTCGAAGGAATTAGAAAATTTTAATGAACTACTATCTAATTTTGTATTATTTTCTCTCTCTCTCTCTCTCTCTCTCTCTCTTTCTCTTTCTCTTTCTCTTTCTCTTCTTCTTTCTTTCTTTTATCTTTGACGATCTCCACGAGTCGTTATCTAGAACGTTCAAAAGCGAGAATAGGAATTTGAGGTAAAGAGATAAAGTGGAACACAGGGTGGATAACCTGTGCTAGTAGAGAAACGCTCGCTTTTTATTAATTCTAAACTCAGAGAGATATTTATCTTCCCGTCGGTTTTTCGTGTCGAACGAAGTGCTTCCACGAATATAATCGCAGCTTCCACGAGACGATTATTATTTCACCGACATAATGTTCATTTGTTAAAGGACCACTCGATGAAGTTATATATTGTATATACCTGTGTATTATATATGTATATGTATATATATATATATATTTACTGCATTAATATCGTGCACTTGTATCTCCGTTCTCTCTCTCTCTCTCTCACTCTCTCTCTCTCCTTCTCTCTCTCTCTTCTCTCTTTTTCTCTTTCACTCTCTATACCTTTTTCTCTTACATAATAGAATACCAAATAGTTGAATGAATTGCTACTTGTTAATGATTGTTCTAATTAAATCCTACTCTGATATCGTTACCATTTTTCTACATACATATACATATATATATATTTACATATATATATATATATATATATATATATATATATATTGACGTTTCGATTAAAAACCGATTAATTCGACTTTAATAAGAAAGGAATACGTAAATAAAGAATCATTGTTTCTTTATTCTGGCAATGATGTAAAACGATAAAAGTGATTACGACGAAAGTTAAATGAAAGGAAAGAAAAACGGGAGTGTGTGAATGAGTAGGGGGTAGAAAGAATGAGGAAGGGGGACTGGAATTGATGAAGATGAGACGACAGAAGAAGAGAGAAAATAAGAGAATATGTATGTATGCGTGCATGCGTGTATGTGAGTGTGTACACGTGATTTGGATGTGGACGAGGAAACTAATCGGGCTCTATCAGAGAGCACCTTTCCCTTGGCAATCGCCGGCATAATAAATACCATTAGCAGCGTTGGATAATTTTCTCGCGGTCGTCGTAAGCGTATGCTTATTCGTTCGCGTTGTTGCACTCTCTTCCTCCTGCTTCTCTTCCTTTACCTTTTCCTTTTCCTCCTTCTCCTCCTCTTCCTCTTCTTTCTTCTTTCTCTTGGTTCTCTTTCTTTTGCTCCTCCATCTCTTCCTCGTCGTCTCATCGGGAAAGAAAGGACGAAGCGTTGGAAAACGCAAGAACGAGGAGGGAGGTTTATTGCCGCGGATGGACTAATTGATGTCATTCAGGGTGTCATTAACGTCGGTTCGTTCCACGTCGTCGTATATCAGCTCCTAGTGATTTTCTCGGAGGCTGAGAAATCTTTTCAGACCGTTCTCGCCACTTCTCGCGACTTTCCGTTTCTCGAGGGCAGAGCGTGCGCGAGTAAAAGAGAAAAAGATATATATACATATATATATATATATACATACATATATATATATATATAGGAAGAGAGTGAAAGAGAGAGAGAGATAAAGAGAAGAGTGACGAAGGACGACAGAGAGAGAGAGAGAGAGAGAGGAGTGAAGTGAGCATATTACTATTGAGAATAAGTACCTGGCTTCGAGATAGGGGCTGCACTCGGCGTGTAAGGAGGGATGGAGTAACGGCACACGGAGGTGGTGACGGGGGTGCAAATGGGGTGGTACAATGGGCACTAATGGATCTCAAGCCGCCGCGAGAGGCGCTGCTTTTAATCTAATTGTCCTTGGTAGCCGGTTGCGATCGCGATCAGTGGTATTCAACGCTGATCCCTTGTCTACTCCGAAAACTACGTCGCCCGTGGAAAAAGGAGAGTAGAAACAAAGAAGAAAAAGAAAAAGGGATGGAATGAGAGAGTGTTTCTCGATTAGCGAGACAGAGAGAAACAGAGAGAGAGAGAGAGAGAGAGAGATACATATAGTTCAAATTCAAAACGCTTTGTATTCAAAATACTTTAACGATATAACTTACATAGATATCGTAAAAGGAACATATCGATTCACAAAAAAGAAATTGGTTAAACGTCGAAGGGACGTAAAGACTCGTGGCGTGTGGGCGAAACGAAAGCGTACGAGTAAATGTGACCAAGGCGGAGTGGACGAGAGGAGTATTTCTTTTCTCCTTCTAGTGGTTCCATTTAGCAGAAACTTTAACGGCATTATGCGACACGGTCGTTGAGCTAAAACGCGAAAGTGTATAATATAGAATACTACGGGGAAGCAAAAGTCTGTTCTCTTATCGCGAATAATATATGTTGGTACCATACATAGTATCTATGTATCCATGTATATACATATGTCGAAATATAAAAATGGCTTGCCGAAATTTTACAAAGGGTGACCTCCAAAAGACTCTCTCGAGAAGAAAGAATGGAAAAAAAAAAAAGAAGAATCTATATATATATATATATATGAATATACATATGTATGTATATATGTACATAATAAAAAAGGAAGTTCATCGGCTTCCCTTCTTTTTTTCTTTTTTTTTTCTTTTTTTTTTTCCATCGAAACTTACCGGTCTTATCGTAAAACTCGATCACGGTGGAAGATAATACAACACGATGATGATCGTCCTACGAGCAAGGTGCAGGTGTCGTCCAATGTCGATTGCGATGGTGTTGATGACGGTATACTACTACTATTACTAGTATACTATTACTATTACTACTACTATTACTAGTATACTATTACTATTACTACTACTATTACTAGTATACTATTACTATTACTACTACCATTACTAGTTCTACTACTACTATTACTACTACTACTATTACTATTACTATTACTATTACTATTGGTCGTACTAGTAGTGGTGCAATAATCGTTGCCGAGCACGAGGTGTACGCTTCGAAGCAGACTCGAACCAGCGATAACGTTAATTCACGCGGCGCGAGAAGCGAAGCCACGTCGGCCGTCGTTACGACAGATAAATTTCCGATAACGCGAATAAATTGGCCCGATTGTAATTGCCATTGTGCGTGTTACCGGTATAAAGCTGGATGAGCTTCGTCCGTTCTTTTGGATCGACCCCTCTCTCATTCTCTCTCGCTCTCTTTCGGTTAGACAGCGAGGGTGGAAAAAAGAGATATATATATATATATATATATATATATATATATATATGTGTGTGTGTATACATATAAAAGAGTGGGGACACACCGATCGAACGACATCACCAACGACGTTTACACGAAGACTCGTGGGAACGTGGTCCTCTCACAAACGTGTACCCCTACCCAGTTCGTCGCCATACTATGAAATCGTGGGTACAATCCGGAATTCAGGAAATTGTCGTAATGACGGGGCCGAAACGAGGCCGGCTATAAAATCCTTCTATGATTAATGACGCGGAAACGATTTTGCCGTGTCCGTTTTCAACGAAAATCACATAAGAAAATGAAGGTATCGTTCGAGGACATACATACATACATACATATATACATACATATATACATACATATATACATACATATATACATACATACATACATACATATATATATATATGTCCAAAAAACCAAAAAAACTACTTATGAACTACGACGATTTGATTTCGAAATCGATAGATATGGTTTCTTATTTCCATTTTTCTTTTTTTCTTTTTTCGTCTACTCGGCGTATTATTTTTTTTTCTTTTTCTTTTTTTTTTTTTTTAGTGACGTACAGCACGTAATCCTCACAGGAGAAACAATTGGTTAAAGGGAGAAAGGAAAAAAAAATGGTAATTACCCCTCTGGCTGTGGACACGAAGGAAGGCATAAACGATGTTAAAAAGAGTAGAGATACAACAACGATTGATATTATCTGTCTCATATATTTTTTAACATAATCGGTTACCTACATATTTACATAAAGAAAACCATCATCGTTTTCGAAGTTGCACGCGTACTACATAATATTATCACACAGGTGTGTACTTTTTTTATTCCTTTTTTTTATCTTTTTTTTTATGTTTTTTTTATGTTTTTTTTTAGAAAAAATCCGGACTCCGTCCTCCCAATCCACCATGAGATTTATCTTCGTGCGTTCCTTGTCTTTGTTTCTTTTTCTTCTTTCTCTTTTTTTTTTTCGTTTTCTTATCTTGTATTTTTTTTCCACCTCCCCTTCCCCCCCCCCACTCTCTCTTCTTTTTTGTCTCTCGTTTGCTTTATTAAACGATCGGTCTCTATAAACGACGCAATCGTTCTAAGAGCGAATCGCGTGTTTTCTACGTGTTTACATTTACACTTTGTATGGTACATACGTGTGTCCCAATTAACGCGACACCAAGCAGTCTTGCATGCGCACGATATCGACTACATATCTCTATGATATCGACATATGCAAAAGGAGCACGGTGACGCGGACATAAACGACGAGCTGGATTTGCGTCCAAGTAAAAATTTACCCGGGCACGTCTTTCGACATTAGTACATGTATACATGTTATATGTATATATGTTACGGATTGTCCATTACGGAAATATAATGATTACTTTTTTCGTGACCGTGATTGTATCTCCCTTCGTATTGGACTCGTCGTTCTAACCAATCACAGTTGTTACATTCCTTATATTGTTTTCTTTTTCTTTTCTCTTTTTTCTGTTTTTTTTTTTTTTTTCATATTCCCAGCCATCGAGCGATAACCATCAAGAGAAAAAAAAAAAGAAAAAATCATTCTAATTCGTTTATTAATTATCTGCCTTACGTAATACTTCTTCAGCCTTCACTCTGAGTACCTCCGCGCTTTGTCTTCTGATTTCATCGTCAGACGACGCCGAGTCATCCTCCTTCTCGTGTTTCGAGCTTAAATTTTGGGGTAAATTTTGAACACCAAGATTCAATGGATGTCCGTGCAAATGATTCCCCAATGTATGACCATTGACGTTGCTATGATTGAGAGAAGAAGCTCCTGGATTTAAACCTACAGGTAATACTGTGCTTAAAGACGCCAAATTCTGCGGTAATGGTAGACCTATATATTGCGAAAGAATCGCGTGCAACGGTGGTAATTTTGGTGCGCTTGCTGGCCACGGGGGTGGGAAAACCGGTGGTATGAACCACGGAAAGGCGCCACTCGGTGGACCCGATGGATCCGCACCTGGTACACCACCGGCCGATTGGAGTAGACGTGCGTGTAGGGACAGCTCGTTCACACCTGCAATCATACGGTACCACCATGTTTTTTTTCTGTTTCTTTTTTTTTTTCTTTTTTTCTTTCTTTCTTTCTTTTTTTTTTTTTTTTTGTTATTTCTTGCTCTTTTTTTTCTATACTTATACCCTATTATTGTTGTCCTCTCTCTTATTTTATTTTATTTTTTTTTATTCTCCGAGGTCAAACCTAAATGAGACAATTAATTGGAAACAATATGTAAAAATTGAATTTATTCATAATCATCGATCGATCTCACGTTCGTTCCTTTTTCCTATTTTTCCCTATTGTTTTCTTTTTTTTCTTTCTTTCTTTCTTCCTTCTTCTACTTCCCCCCCCCCCCACCCCTCATAGTAAATGCAGAAACATGATCACGTTGTTCGAATACTACATGATTTATGAAAAATTAACCGACCTTTACTTCCGTCGAACGTCGAACCGTCGACCGTCTTGCAGATCGGATTCCACGCAACGGTCGACGCTACGAGGGACACTGAAATTATATGTAATTATCACCGATTGCATCTACCCTTTTGACTGCACTTCTCTCTTTCTCTCTCTCTCTCTCTCTCTCCCTCTCTCTATAATCGCAATAACTCGGACGACGTCGATCGACGCGACGTGTCGTATTCTAAAACTCGAATCGTTCTAATTTAATATGCGTTTGTGCAATAGTCAAAGGAAAAAGGAAACGTAAACGACGAATTCAACGAATTAATTTATTTTTCATTAGAATAATTTTGATTAGAATAATTATCTCGTGGAATTTATCTTTTATAAGGATTCCATACTTAGAGTATTTATCGGACGGAGAAAATTTAATTATTGTCGAGGGAATATAATTATTTTTTTCTCCGTACGGATTTCATCGCTTCTCTTTCGCAATCAGAAAGAAAGAAAGAAAGAAAGAAAAAGAAAAAGAAAAAGAAAAAGAAAAAAGAAAACACAGGCCGGGAAGGAGCTATAAATGGGAACGACGGGGGTTGGGGTAGTTGAAGGAAATATAATGAGATAATTATCGAGACG